CACTGTCCCAGGGTGCTCCAAGATGTCCTTGGACACTTCCAGGGATGGAGCAGCCACAGCTCCTCTGGAAATCCCATGCCAGGGAAGAAAACCACAATTATCTGGTGCTGGGCACGCCAATTAAAAGAAAATAATTTTTGAATTTTCTGCTCTGTGGCTTTGGCAGCTACCAGGGCAGCCCAGTGCTGGTGGTGGGAAGGATAAAACCCCCTGAACCAGGTGGTGCTCAGCTGTTAGAGGAGCTGGAGATTTGCAAAACGAAAAAAAATATAAATACAAACCCCTGGGTCCTGGAGATAAACCCCAATTTGGGTGCCCACCTTGCAGCTGGGCACTGCTGCTTTATCAGCAGGGGTGCAGCAGCTGGGCCTGGCACCTCCTGCGTGGGGAGGCTCTGATAAGGAGCTCCAGGCCCCCCTTATCAGCTGGGAGGTGCTGCAGGGGCTCTGGGTGCTGCCCCAGCCCCCAGGAGCCTTTCACTGCCTGCTGGTTTCTCCTTTCTCCTGGAATTCCTGGGTTCTGCTGTCCCACAGCTGCTCCAGGTCCATGGGAGGTGCTGGACCAGCCCTGGGGCTGGGGCTCGTTCCTGGATTTATTTGGATGCTTGGCACTGAGGGAAGGGGGGTGAATTTTGGGGATTCTGCTGTCACTTGCTGGGGTGTAAATCATAAAGTTGTGGATTCATGGAATGGTTTGGGTTGGGAGGAGCTTAAATCTCATCCAGAGCCACCCCTGCCATGGCAGGGACACCTCCCACTGTCCCAGGTCACTCCAAGCCCATCCAGCCTGGCCCTGGACTCTCCCAGGCTGAGGCTGTTGCAGCCCAAAGGTGTTTCCAGCTTTGCCCTTCCTTGTTTCCCTGCTCTGATGGAATTTTGGGCTCGTGGAGCACCCCAGGGACCCCCAACCCCAGAGAGCTCCAGGATGGGGTACAGGGAGCAGTGGGTGGGAAGGGAAGAGCCAGGGAATCCTTGGGATGGCTCCTCTGTGCCAGGCAGGAATGGCAGAAATCCACCCCAGAGCCACAGGCTGCTCCTTTTCCTGCTGCTCTCTGCCCCATTTCCCTCACAGAAATCATGGATAATTCCATCCCATCCCCAGGAATGTGGATAAACCCCTCAGGCCCAGCCTCTGCTTTGGCCCCTGAGCTCCCTGAGTTTGGAGCAGGAGCAGAAGGATCCTCATGGCACTGCTCCAGGGTTTCCAAGCTGATGAATTTCCCTGTGGTTCTCCTTTCCCAGAATGGAAAATCCAGGCTGGATCCTTTTCCTGGGATCTCCTGAGGCTGGCACTGCCTTGGATCTCAGGATGGGGCTGGAATGAGGTCCAGACTCAGAGTTAAATTTGTATTTTGAGACATTTTGGGTGTTTCTAAGGAAGGACGGGGCTGATCCATGTCCTGTGGGATGGGGAATTGATTCCCACATGGAATCTGTCTTTCCTATGAGGATCTGACACCCAAACTTGCCAAAAAAAAAAGCTGTGAGGACATAAAATCCCAGCTGGCTGTGCTGCAAATAAGATTAAAAACAAACCAACCATTTCTATTTGCTCTGATCCCTCTTTTAAAGCCTTTCTAAAATGCCATAAACTGGGGACTTTTTCCTTCCCACATCCCCAGGAATGTGGGGAAACCCCTCAGGCCCAGGCTCTGCTTTGGCCCCTGAGCTTTGGAGCAGAAGGATCCCCCATGGCACAGCTCGGGGTTAAAATATAACATGGAAATACAATTGCAGAATTGCATCCCAGTCCAGCTCACGGGCAGGGAGCAACACCTGAGAATGCAGGAGAAAGGGCTCATTAAGGTGACACTAATTCCCCTCTCCCTGCCCTGCCAGAGGCACGGGAAGGAGATTAAAGTTCTTGCTCAAGGAGAGGAAAACCTCGATAACCCCTGTGGAGCAATCCTGGGAAATGTGTCCCTGCCAGTTTTATTTCCCGGGATGGCAGAAAGGGAAGTTCCTGTGCCCGGCTTGAGGCTGGGGATCGTCGCTCTCTGCTGCAATTACGGGTGTGGCTCTCCTGCTCGAAAATGTCATTTAATGTGCAAAACACAGTGACAAACCCTGCCGGCAGCACGGCTTTGGTCTCTTTCCAAGGAAATAAAGGTGTGATAATCCCGTCTGGGTTGAATTTTGTGTTGTTGAAGGGTTTTATACTCTCAGCTTTCCACAGGTTGTGTTTCTCAGTCTCAGGGATGGGGGGAATGGTTGGGACACCCCAGGGTGTCACCTCCAGCTCTCCCACATCCTGGAGAAGTGTTTTTCCAAGCGCAGGAAAATGCTGCCAAGTCCCCAGGATCAATCACGAGTGAGTCCCATGCATGACAATGTCATTTATTGTTATTTTTTCCAGCAGCTCTGTGTTCCTGCAGGGAACAGAGAATTCCCAGCACAAATAAGGGAAGGAGGAAGGAGAACAGATTGTGATGTCCCCAGCACGTCTGCAGGTACCCAGCATGTGACCACACCTGGATTTTCTCACCTCGTGTCTGTTCATTTCCAAACCCAACACTTTATTTTCCTGCTTTTTCCAGGCTCTGAGGATGGCTCTCCTCCTTCCCAAGGCCCACGCAGCAATTAATTGCCCTGCAGTATCATGGCAATGGTTAACCTTGATTTGAGATCATGCAACACCTCCTTTCCTGCAAGGTCGAATTCCAAATAATCCTTTGGAGAGGAATGAAATGAAGTCAGAGCTGCTCCCCGGGCACAAAGACTTTGCCTCCTTCTCCTGGAGAGCACCAAAGTCACCCACTTTGGGATGGTTTCACGGTGGAACAAAGAAATGGTGTAAGATATGAGGGAAGGGAAATGTTTTTGGGGGAGCAGGGACACGAGGGGAGCTCATTGCTCCCCCACACAAGGAGTGGGATCTGCAGGGAGGGATGGGGATGCTGTGGATCCCTTCTTCTCCAAAGAAACTTTTCCTGAGTTCTTCCATTAGTTTGTTTTTTTTCCTTCCGTGAGACACAGCCAGGCAGGGGAGTGGCTGTGGCAGCACAGGAGGGGACAGAGGGCTCCCGAGACACCCCCAAAACCCCAAATAAAACCCAAATAAACCCCAAATAAAACCCAAATAAACCCCGCTCTGGGAAGCTCCCCCTGCATCAGCAGCACAGGAGATGAGCATTTTGTGCTTTGGGGACAGTTTGTGGCTGTTTTGGAGACGATTTGTGGCTGGTTTTAGGGATGGTTTGTGGCTGTTTTGGGGACCCTGCATGGAAAACAGCCCCTTTGCCCATGGAATCTCCCAACTCCAGGTCTGATTGAACCTTCCCCTCCTTTAACAGCGGGTGACTGCAGGGGGGGCACACTTTTATGAAGGTGCCCATGTTTTCATGAGGGCGCCCGTCCTGGCACAAGGGGTGGGTGCCAGCTTTGAGGGGCTGGGAGCTGGCACATGCAGAAGTGACACTCCGGGAGTCCCAGGAATTGCTAAATCTCCCTTTCCTTCCCGTCAGCTTTCCCCGTGGCATTACCTACGGGGTCAGCAACCCTCTCGTCCCTCCGAGAGCCGCAAACGGCAGCGGCCGGCTCGCTGTGACACCGCGCTCGTCCCTTCAGGTGACAGTTGCGACCGCCACGGCCGCGTCCCCCTCAGCGGCCGTGCCACAGCACCACCCGCCCCTCACGGTTACGCCCCGCCCATCCGCCGCTACAACCAATCACAGCCCGCCGCCGCGCTGACTGTCATATTCTACTGGTTATTAATGCTGCCAATCATTTTCCCGCCCGGTGATGTCACACATGCGCCCCGCTCTGATTGGTGTATCCGGGATGGGCGTGGCGAGCGCGGCTTTAAAGGAGGCTGGGGAGGCGCGCGGTCCCAGTGCCCGTCCCCCCGGTGCCGGTGTCGCCGCCGTGTCCCCAGCCCGGCCCGTGTCTCCCCGGCACCGGCGGATGGAGCTGAGCTGTGCCATGGGGGGCAGCACCGCCGCCCCCCCGGGCCCTGGCCCGCCCGCCGCCGCCGCCGGGGCCGGGCTGATGGAGGGCGAGGAGTACGAGAGCCTGCCCAGCGGCGTCGCGCTCGGCACGCACATGGTGGCCGGGGCCGTGGCCGGGATCATGGAGCACACGGTCATGTACCCCGTGGACTCGGTCAAGGTGCGTGGGGACAGCGGCGGAGGTGCCCGGACTGGGCACGGGGCGGGCACGGATCAACCGGGCAGTACCGGGGGGACACGGGCTGGGGGACCCGGGGATGCTGCAGGAACCGGGACAACACCCGTGGGGTACCGGAGAATTAGGGGGGACAGGGAGAGGGGAGTGTGCGAGCGGTTATTGGGGTGCAGGAAGTTCTGGGATGCGAGGAGTTGTTGGGGTGCAGGAGGTTTTGGGGTGCAAGAAGTGTTGGGGATGCAAGGGAGGAGTGTGAGAGGGGAGTGTGCAAGGGGTTATTGGGGTGTGAGAAGTGCTGGGGGTGCAAAGAGGGGAGAGAACAGAAGGGATGTGCAAGAGGTTTTGGGGTGCAAGAAGAGGGGAGGTGTAAAGTGTGCAAGGAAATGTTGGGGTGCAAAAGGGGGAGTGTGTAAGAAATTGTTGGGGTGAAAGAAGCGCTGGGGGTTCAAGGGGTTGAATTGGGGTGTAAGGGACGTGTCAGAGTTGTTGGGGTGCAAGGGAGGAAAACCTGCAAGAAATTGGGGGAGGAGGGAGGGAGTGTTGGGGTGCGAGAAAGGTGGGAATGAGTGAGGAATTTCGGGATGCAGGCGGGCACAGTGTCCATGGAATGTCGGGATGCAGGTGTGGGAAAGCATCCACGGAACATTGGGATGCACCGGGTTCCCGGGCCAGGGCAAGGCGCTGGGCAGGACCCCAAATTTGGGTGTCACCCCCCCCCAAATCCCCGCTGGCTCTGGAGCTCTGCTCCCCTTGGAGCCGTCGTGGGGAGCTTTGCACAGCCTTGGTGCAAAGGTGACACCAGCGGGGCTGCTCCCAGCGCCCTCCCAGCCTGGGACTGGATCGGGAGCTCCCTGGAATTGTTGGAATCCCAGCACAGGAGGGAAAAGCTGCTGGGATGGGATGGGATGGGGTGAGAGGCACAGATGTGGCTTTGTTGGGGTCAGGGTGTTTGAAGCGGGGCTGGCTGGTGGCTTTTGGAGCTGCTGATGCTCAGGGAAGGCTTCCCAGTGTCTCCAGAGTGGTGGGAACAATCCTGAAGGATATTTCCTCTGCTTGCTGCTGTGGGGCCTTCAAGAGAAGAGGGAAATCTCGGAAAAGCCAAACTCCAGTGCTGGTGTGGGTGAATCACAAGATGTTGCAATCCTCCTTTTCAAGCTGGGCTCCCTGAAAGAGTAGAAAGAGCAGAGGAGAGGAAATGCTTTGGCTTTTGCAGGTCCTGCCAGTGGGACAAGCACTCAAAGGAAATATTCCCATTTTATTTTCTTGCCCTGTTTTTCCCTCTGGGTCTGTCGCTGCTGCACGTGGCTCACGGATTTGGGATGCCCACCGTGGCACAAACAAAGGAGGGGTTTTGTGCCCAGGCAGTGCCCCAGCAGCTCCGTGGGTGGGTGTTGTCCCTCCGCAATTCTGGAGTTGTTCACCCGGGCATTTCCTCCGCGGGGAAAGCAGAGCCAGAAATGAAAGTGGTGCCCGGCTTCCCGGAGTGGGAGGTGCTTTGGAGGAAAAAATTCCCTGAGTTTTGACTTCCAGGACCGGGGTAATCCGGCTCTGCCAAGTGTCTGGAAGTGCTGGGAGAGGATAAAATGCAGGAAAACTCCGGTGGATCCCGGCCAAGGTCGCTGTGTGTGCTGGGACAGAGCAAAATCCCGAGCTGGGATCTGCCCCTGCCCTGGGCACTCACTGCTGTTCCACCTGTCTGCTGCGGGGAAAGGTGACAACTTACCCAAAAAATGGGATTTTTTTTTAATCCCTAAATTGCTTTTATATATTTTTTTTTTTTTTTGTGGTGGGTGTAATCCAATAACAGCTCAGGTCCTAAGAGCAGCTCTTTATCGTGGGACAAGGAGCCACGTTCCTGCAGAAAAGGAGCAAAGCTTTTGCTCACTGGCACTTCCTGGGTCAGAGTTCCAGGCTGGAGGAGCTTGGGGATTTCTGGAGGTGCAGCGAGGGCACCTGGGCAGCTCCTGCTCGGAGGGAAGTGTCCGGGTTCCTGCGAGTCATTTCCTCCCAAAGAGAAACTGAAAATGTCGTAATTTGGGGAATTGTTTGCTGCGGACACTTGCACAACCCCTGGACTTGGCGGGGTCACAGAATCCCAGAGTGGTTTGGGTGGGAAGGAGCCTTAAAATCCCCCCGGTGCCACCCCTGCCATGGCAGGGACCCCTCCCACTGTCCCAGATTATCCCAACCTGGCCTTGGACACTTCCAGGGATCCAGGGGCAGCCACAGCTCCTCTGGGAATTCCATCCCACCCTCACCCTTCCCAATTTAAATTTACACTCTTTTTCTCCCCGTTATTTTCCATTGTTGTATAATAAATAATTTTTTTTTTTTTTTTTTTACCATTAAGCAAAGCCCCCTTGATCTCCAGGCTCACCTGCCTTTCTCCTCTGCCTCTCCCCCTGGTTTGAGCCCTCTGAGCTGGGTTTTTGCTGGTGCTGAGGGTGTTTCTCACAATCCTCAGCCTTGTTTTTGTTTGTGGCTGCTTCAGACAGCTGTGCTGGGAGCCCTGATCCGTCCCCAAATTATCTGCAGGGATCAGAGTGTCAAGGACTCCTGATGGCAGCAGAGCAGGAGTTTCTGCAGGGCTCTCCTGGAGCCTCCTCCTCCTCCTCCTCCTCCCTTAATCCTTTGGGGGATTTTTCTGCCGGAGCTGGTTTCCCAAAGGCTGTGAAAACAAAGGATGGGATCCCCCTGGGGATGTGAGGAACAGTTTTGTTCCCCTGGGGATTAATTAATTGTTGGAGGGAGAAACTGGAGGAGTGCAGGGCTGGCACCTCCCTTCTTGCACAGGGTGCAAAAAAAAAAAAAAAAAAATTAAAAAAATCATTTTTTCCATGAAAACCTGGCCTGCCTTTGGAGCTTCCCAGTTGGTCACAGAGGTCCTGGAAGCACGGCAGAACTCCTGAGGGAAGCAGGGCTGTGGATTATTTGGGGTTTGGGGTGGGAGATTCTGCATCCCCCCATTTCCAGGAGGAGCAGTTCCTCGTGTTCCAGCTGAGAGATTTTTGGGATGTTGGGAATTCCTGGATAACCTGCTGGGCTGACCCTCCCACGGCTGTGCTGCTCATTTGGGGGGGCTTGGAACTGGATCCCTGCAGAAATGCTGCTCAATTCCTGCAAAAAACATTTTTTTTTTTTTTGTTCCCTTTATGGACCTCTGCCACACGAACCCGGGAAAAGCAGGTTGTGCTCAGAGAAAATAAATAAAGAAACCCAAAAGAAAAGACAAACGAGGTGTTTGTAGGGTCTCAAACCAGCGACCCTGTGCCAAACAAGGACCTGGCTCCTGCTGGGAAAACAATTCTGCATTAAAAAAAAAAACAACCAGAAAACCACACTGGGGTGATGCAGGAGGGCTGGGGCTCTTCCCAAGGAGCAGGGAACTGCCTCAACCTGACCCTGGCACTCACGGTGGTGTTTTGGTTTTATTTTTTTTGGTTTTTTTGTTTTTTTTTTTCTGCCCAAGCTGCAACCAGGACAACCAGGGCACTCGTGGCTGGCCCTGCACCTCTGCCTTATGCAATGGGGATTAATTGGAGTAGGTGGAGAAGAATTTCTTGGCTGCTTATCAAGGGTGAGGCTCCAGGAGCTGCTTGGTGGCTCGTGATAGGTGAGAGGAGCTGGGGGCACTGCCCAGCTCAGGGAAATCATCTCCTCAAGCCCTGATAAAGTTCAGCTCCCTCCCACAGAGCTGCTCCAGCTCCGGGCCTCGGGCTCAGCAGCAGCCACCCAGCAGATTCCTCGGGCAGTCTGTCCTCCTAAATTCTGATTTTGGTTATTCCCGGGCTGTTTGTTCTCCTAAATTCTGATTTTGGTTATTCCTTAGGCAGCTTGTCCTCCTAAATTCTTATTTAGGTTATTCCTTAGGCAGTTTGTTCTCCTAAATTCTTATTTAGGTTATTCCTTAGGCAGTTTGTTCTCCTAAATTCTTATTTTGGTTATTCCTTAGGCAGTTTGTCCTCCTAAATTCTTATTTTGGTTATTCCTGGGCTGTTTGTTTTCTTAAATTCTTATTTAGGTTATTCCTTGGGCAGTTTGTCCTCCTGAATTCTTACTTTGGTTATTCCTGGGCTGTTTGTTCTCCTGAATTCTGATTTTGGTAATTCCTCGGGCAGTTTGTACTCTTTAATCCAGGTTCTCATTATTCCATGGCCAGTTTGTCCTCTTAAATTCAGGTTTTGGTTATTCCTTGGGCAGTCTGTCCTCCTAAATTCTGATTCTGGTTATTCCTTGGGCACTTTGTCCTGCTGAATCCAGGTTTTGGTTGTTCCTCGTGCTTTTAGTTCTGTTCAATCCTGATTTTTGTTATCCCTGGGATTTTTATTTCTTGATTTTGGTTATTCTTTGGGCAGTTTGTCCTCTTGAATCTTGCTTTTGGTTACTCCTTGGGTTGCTGGATCCTGGTTTTATCTGCTCCTTGGGCTGTTAGTCCTGTTGAACCTGACTTTTGGTTATTCCTTGTATTGTTAGTCCTGGTTTTATCTGCTCCTTGGGCTCTTAGTCTTGTTGAACCTGAGTTTTGGTTATTCCTTGGTTTGTTAGTCCTGTTGAACCTGGGTTTAGGTTATTCCTTGGATTGTTAATCCTGTTGGACCTGGGTTTAGGTTATTCCTTGGATTGTTAATCCTGTTGAACCTGACTTTTGGTTATTCTTTGGGCAGTTAGTCCTGGTTTTATCTGTTCCTTGGGCTCTTAGTTCTGCTTTACCCACAGGTGAATATTGGCTGATGCAAACTGCAGCCTGTGTGGGCTCCTCTGGGAGCTTTGAACCCCTTCAGAGCAGCTCAGATCCACCCAAAAAAAAAGAAAAAAAAAAAAGAAATCCTATTTATCCATTCTCATGTGAGAGCTTTACCCACCTCACATCCCTTTTCCATGAAAAGCTGCCCTGTTCCTGCCCAAGCTGGAGCAGCAGGGTCTCTGTAAATTGATTTTCCTGGGTTTGTGTGGTCCTGACAGGTACAGGAGCTTCTCTTCCATCGTGGGAAAAACTGGAGCATCCATAAGGATGGAAATCCTTGGTTTTACTTCCCAAAAAGTCATCCTGCACACAAATGTCACCAGCTGCTCCGAGGGATAAACTGGGATATTTTTTTTGGAGCATCCTGAAATCCTGAGCAGCCTCCATAGGATGGGGAAGGTGCAGAGACCACGAGGGGTTGCAGGGATTTAAAACCTGCTTTTAATTCCAGTGAATCCCGTGCATTGCTGCCCTCCCAGGGGGATTCTCCTGAGATTTTGGGTTCAGAGCTCCAGGGAATGTGGAGCTGTGGCGCAGGGGAGCTGCCAAATTCCCTGGTGGAGGGAGATGCTGGAGTCTGGAATTCCAGACAAGTCTCCTTGCCAAGAGTTCCTGTGTGATTTTTTTTTTTTTTTTTCAGGTTTTTTTGAGTATTTACTACAAATTCCATAATTTTCTTGGCCTAGACTTGAGTAAACCCAGCTGGGGTGAAAATCCTGAGCTGAGCTCTGATCTCTTCCTTGGGCTCACAGAGGGGCTCTGGAAATCTTTTGGGATTTGGGAGCTCCAAAGTTCAAACCTTAAAGGTTTTTCTGAGCTGCCTCCTGGCTAATTAATGAAGGGCTTAATGAGCTGGAGGGATCCTGCTGAGGAAGGATCAAGGTTTTCCTTGGAAAAATCCTTAATTCCAGAGGTTTTGAAAACCCTTTGTGGTTTTTGTGCTCCAAGGGCCTCCAGGTTGGTTTTGGGCTGGAATTGCAGAATCATGGAATTGTTGAGGTTGGAAAAGTTTTCTCCAAGTCCAAGCTGTGCCCATCCCCACCTTGTCACCAGCCCAGGGCCTTCCTGGGACACCTGCAGGGATTTTTCTGCCCTGGTGTTTCCCTTTTCCATGTGGAGGAATCCACAAGGATTTTTGGGCTTTTTTTTTCTGCTCAGGATTTTTGGGCTTTTTTTTCTGCTCAGGATTTTTTGGGCATTTTTTTCTGCTCAGGATTTTTGGGGAAATTTTTTTTGCTCAGGATTTTTTGGGGCATTTTTTGCTGCTCATTTTCCTGGGGAGGTTTGAGCTTTTCCCAATGCTGATTTGAATCCTGGGACCCCTCACACCTTGTCATTGTCACCTCCAATTTGAGCCCTGGAACGAGCTCCAAAGAATTTTCCAGTGAGATTTGGATGCCAGGAGCTCAGCTGTTTTAAAATCTGGGAAAAAAAAAAAAATCCCAGGGGACAGAAATGCAGCTGGAATTCCCTGGCCAGGAGGAGAAAAGCACTGGGAGCTGAGGGGAAAACAGGGACAGGGAAACTCCCAGAGCCACTGGGGGACACTGCCTTGGTATTTTCTCATTTTGGGAGAAAATTCCTGCCTGTTCCCAGTTTTCCCAGCTCACCTTTCTAGGAACTGCTGCTGGGCAGCTGCAGGAGGGACAAGCTGGGGCAGAGTCAGGGTGTTGAAAGCAGGAGAAAATTACAACCATGCCTGGATTTCTTCACCCAGCCTTTGGAGCAGCCTCATGCCTTGGGTTTTCCATGGATAAAGCAGAGCAGAATTTGCTTTTCCCTCCTGCAGCAGCCTGGGTGTCACAGTGGACTCCATCCAGCAGGATAAATAAAAAATCAGGATAAATAAGGAGCATCCAGGGGCTGAGCAAAGCCTCATTCCTTGGGATTTCCATGGATTAGGCAGAGCAGAGGTTCCATTTCTCTCCTGCACCATCCTCATTCCTTGTTTTTTCAATGGATAAAGCAAAGCAGAAATTGTTCTCTCCTGCACCATCCTCATTCCTTGGGTTTTCCATGGATAAAGCAGAGCAGAATTTGCTTTTCCCTCCTGCAGCAGCCTGGGTGTCACAGTGGACTCCATCCAGCAGGACAAATAATAAAAATTATAAATGAAGGGCTAAATAAGGGGCATGCAGGGGCTGGGCAAAACATTTCTTTCCTGCACCAACCTCATTCCTTGGTTTTTCCATGGATTAAGCAGAGTTGAGGTTGCTCTTCCCTCCTGCATTATCCTCATTCCTTGTTTTTTCAATGGATAAAGCAGAGCAGAATTTGCACTTCCTCCTGCACCATCCTCATTCCTTGAGATTTTCATGGATAAAGCAGAGTTGAGGTTGCTCTTCCCTCCTGCATTATCCTCATTCCTTGGGTTTTCCATGGATAAAGCAGAGCAGAAATTGTTCCCTCCTGCACCATCTTCATTCCTTGAGATTTCTGTGGATAAAGCAGAGCAGAAATTTTTCTTCCCTCCTGCATTATCCTCATTCCTTGTTTTTTCAATGGATAAAGCAGAGCAGAAATTGTTCCCTCCTGCACCATCTTCATTCCTTGAGATTTTCATGGATAAAGCAGAGCAGAATTTGCTTTTCCCTCCTGCAGCAGCCTGGGTGGGAGTGTGAACTCCATGCACCAGGACAAATAATAAAAGTTATAACTGAGGGGCACGCAGGGGCTGAGCCCTGGGCTCGTGGTGCCTCCCGGGTTTGGTGCAGCACGGAGATTCCTGCATGGAGAAGGGAGGGGAGGGACAGGACACACACACCCACACCCACCCCAGGGGGGTGACCAGGGCCCTGCCCCTCGTGTTCTTTGTTGCAGACACGGATGCAGAGCCTGCAGCCCGACCCCAAGGCCCAGTACAGGAGCGTGTACGAAGCTCTCAAGAGGATGGTGCTGACCGAGGGGCTCTGGAGGCCCCTGCGTGGCATCAATGTCACCATGATGGGGGCTGGCCCTGCCCACGCCCTCTACTTTGCCTGCTACGAGAAAATGAAAAAGTCTCTCAGTGATGTGTTCCAATCGGGAGGAAACAGCCACCTGGCCAATGGTATTTTTTTGGGTTTTTTTTGTTTTGTTTTTTTGGTTTTTTTTACCTAAAAAAAAAAAAAATTTCCATTTGTGGTTATCTGCCTGCCCGTTGGTTGTTTCTCACTCAGCCCGGTGCTCCTCCCGGTTTAAATTGTTATTTAATCTCAAATTATTCCAAATAAAGTGGGCCAAAGGTGCTCAGGTGCAGCTGTGCTGTTCCTGTATGACCATGGAAGCCTTAAAGTTGGGAAAGATCTTCAGGATGGAGTCCCACCTTTAGAGGTATCACCTAAAAGTGATTTTATGTTGAAATATGTGTTTATATCACCTCAGCCTGTGGAGGTTTGAATTCAGGAGTCCCTGGGAGTGCACTCCATCCTCAGGAATATTTCACCTTTAAACCCAGCAACAGCAGCAGAAACCCTGGAATTGAGCAGCCAGGGTTTTCCCAGAGGGTTTGTGCTGGAGATTCCCAGGATTTTGCTGGGATGGGGTCAGTGAAGGGAATAAAATCCCTTCTGCTCTTTGCTGGGAGCTCATTCCTGTGTTTACCTTTCAAGTAGCTACAGGCCCGTCGTGCCAGCAGGAAAACTGGAGCCGTGGCTTCATGAGAAATGACCAAAAGTCATTTGGGCGAGAGGGAATTGGGAGCCAACATCAAAGGGGAAGGAGTGGCTGGAGAGGCTCATCCAGAGCTGAGCACGGGATGGGTCAGGGCTGGCTGGGCTTGGCACAACCTGGCCAGCGAGGCTTGGAAAACCCAGGCTGAGTAAAGGGCTGAAAATGCCTAATTAGGGCTGTGCTGAGGGCAGGGCAGACATTGCTCACGGCGCCTGGGGCACACGGGGCTCGGGAATTGTTGTTGGGAAGGGCAGAGCTGGGGGCTGGGAATGCAGCCTGGCTTCTCCCAGGGTGGGCTGTGGGAGCTGGGTGCTCCCTCAGCAGGGATGGGATCATCCCATGGATGGAATCCACCATGGATGGAGCCCCCCTGGATGGATTCCCCCATGGATGGGATCTCTTTATGGATGAGATTTCCATGGATGGAGCCCCCCATTGGTAGGATTCCTCCTGGATGGATTCCCTCATGGATGGAATCCCCATGGATAAGATTCCCTATGGATAGATTCTCCCATGGATAGGAGTCCCCCTTGGATGGGATCATCCTGTGGATGCATTCCTCCATGGATGGGATCCCTCATGGATGGGAGTTTCCCATGGATGGGATTTCTCTATGGATGGAGCCCCCCATGGATGAGATCTCCACAGATGGATTCCTCCATGGATGAGATTCCCCCATGGATGGGATGGGTCCCCATGGCTGGGATCCCTGGATGGCAGTGCCAGGCCCAGCCCTGCCCTCTGAGCCGGGTTTTGTTTTCTCAAGGCTGCTCTTACCTTGCAGGCATCGCTGGGAGTGTGGCCACGCTGCTCCACGACGCCGTCATGAATCCTGCTGAAGGTAATTCCTGGAGGAATCCAGGGATAAATCCCTCCTGCCTCTTCTCCCTCTGTCCCTTGGGAAGAACAGGAAGAAATCCAGGGCTCCCCCAGCTCAGAGATCTCCAAAGCCACCAAACCACCTCTGTCCCTTGGGAAGAGAGGGAGAGCAGCCAGGAGGGATTGATCCCTGGATCTCTGGTGCATTGTGGTGCATTTCCAGGGGAGGTGTCCCCTTTTCTGGTGTCACCACTCCACTGCTCCCTGGGGCAGTGGTTCTGGTTTTCCTGAAGCTTTGGACTAACCAAGCTGAGCTCAGGTTGTTGGATGAGCAGTGGAGGGCTGTGAGATTGCTGGGGAGGTGGAGTAGCAGGAGAAAGCCTCAGGAAAATGAGGATGAGCAGGAAAATGCAGCTCAAGTGACACTGCCGTGACCTGCCAGCCCCTGAGGGTCACTGGGCTGTGCTCCTGAGTGAGCCCAGAGCTGGGAATCTCTCAAGGAGAAACCTCCCGTGTATCAAATCCTTTGAATCACACCCTGATTAAATTAATGACGTTAATTGGCCTCGTAAGTCAGTGGAGGTGAGTGCAGGCAGTGAGGCTGGAGGGGCTGTGGGACGCCCCCAGGTGATGCTCAGGTGTGAATTCACCTTCCTGCCCTCATCACTGCTGGGTCTGTGTTTGTGCAGCCCCACTGAGGGGTCATTAATTAACCCTGAGCAGAGGAGTTCATTACAACCAGAGGGTCATTAATTAAGCCTGAGGAGTGGGGTTCATTAGAACTAAAGGTTCATTAATTAAGCCTGAGGAGGGGGATTCATTAGAATTAGAGGGTCATTAATTAACTCTGAGCAGAGGGGTTCATTAGAATTAGAGGGTCATTAATGAAGCCTGAGCAGAGGGGTTCATTAGAATTAGAGGGTCATTAATGAAGCCTGAGCAGAGGGGTTCATTAGAACTAAAGGGTCATTAATTAACCCTGAGGAGAGGGGTTCATTAGAATTAGAGGGTCATTAATGAAGCCTGAGCAGAGGGGTTCATTAGGAAGTGAACCCTGAGCTGTCCCCTCTCTGTGGGGCAGTGCCCCACTTCTGATAAACAATACCAGATGATCTTTTAAAATCCATTGCCACACATTCCATCCAGTCATTTTCCTCCCTGGGAACTGTGGGGTTTTTGCTGGGTGGTGAATGTTGAGTAGCACCAGACTGCAGAATTTACTGAATTCTGACTAAAACATTGCTGATGCATGAAAAAGTCCCCAAGTCACACTTGTGGGGTTGGGTTTGGCTGGGGAAGGGGAGGTCAGGGCTGGGTTTGGGGGCTGTGCCAGCCAGGCCTGTGTCCCCCCGAGCTGAGCAGTGTCCCTGTCCTCAAGCAGTGCGTCCCCAAGTCCCACTTGTGGGGACACAGGGCTGGGTTTGGCTGAGGAAGGGGAGGTCAGGACTGGGTTTGGGGCTCATTTTGGGGGCTGTGCCAGCCAGGCCTGTGTCCCCCCGGGCTGAGCAGTGTCCCTGTCCCCACGCCTGTCCCCGGGCAGTGGTGAAGCAGCGGCTGCAGATGTTCAACTCTCCGTACACGTCGGTGCTGGGCTGCGTGCGCACGGTGCACAGGACCGAGGGGTTCAGAGCCTTCTACCGCAGCTACACCACGCAGCTCACCATGAACGTGCCCTTCCAGGCCATCCATTTCATCACCTACGAGCTCCTGCAGGAGCACCTCAACCCCCGGCGCCACTACAACCCCGGCTCGCACATCGTGGCCGGAGCCGTGGCCGGAGCCGTGGCCGCCGCGGCCACCACGCCCCTGGACGTGTGCAAGACGCTGCTCAACACGCAGGAGAACACGGCCCTGAGCTCCCTCAACATCCGCGGCCACCTGTCGGGCATGGCCAATGCCTTCAGCACCGTTTACCAGCTGGGAGGGGTCTCTGGATTCTTCAAAGGGGTCCAAGCTCGGGTCATTTATCAGATGCCCTCCACGGCCATCGCCTGGTCCGTCTATGAGTTCTTCAAGTACTTCCTGACCAAGCAGGCGCTGGAGAAAAAACCAAGCTCGTGAAAAAGGAGTGGGGATGTCCCTGTGCGTCCTTGCAGCCGGCCCAGCTGGGATTCTGGGGGATTCGTTTCTCCACAGCTCCCTGCACGGGGCTTCCTGTGGTGCTTGGTCACTGCGTGTGGCCAGGGATTGCTGATCGTCAAATGTCCCCAGGGATTCCAGGTCACTGAGTGTCCCCAGGGATTGCTGATCTTCAAATGTCCCCAGGGATTCCTGATCTTCAAATGTCCCCAGGGATTGCTGATCGTCAAATGTCCCCAGGGATTCCTGATCTTCAAATGTCCCCAGGGATTGCTGATCATCAAATGTCCCCAGGGATTGCTGATCGTCAAATGTCCCCAGGGATTCCTCATTATCCAATGTTCCCAGGGATTCCTGATCGTCAAATGTCCCCAGGGATTGCTGAACCTCAAATGTCCCCAGGGATTTCTGGTCACTGAGTGTCCCCAGGGATTCCTGGTTATCCAATGTCCCCAGGGATTCCTGATCGTCAAATGTCCCCAGGGATTCCTGGTCACTGAGTGTCCCCAGGGATTTCTGGTCACTGAGTGTCCATAAGGGATTCCTGGTTATCCAATGTTCCCAGGGATTCCTGATCGTCAAATGTCCCCAGGGATTTCTGGTCACTGAGTGTCCCCAGGGATTCCTGATTATCCAGTGTCCCCAGGGATTCTGGGGGTTCCTGATTGTCAAATGTCCCCAGGGATTCCTGTGGAGCTCTCTAAGGATTCCCAAGATGCTCCCCATGGATTCCCAGTCACTCAGTGTCCCCCAGGAATTCCTGTGGAGCTCCCCTGTGATTCCTGGTCACTCTGTCCCCAGGGACTCACATGGGGCTCCCCAGGGATTCTGGGGATTCCTGCTCACTCAGTGTCCCCAGGAATATTCCCTGTCACTCAGTGTCCCCAGGAATTCCCGAGTGTCCCCAAGGAATTCCTGCTCCCTCAGTGTCCCCTGTGATTCCCGGTCACTGAGTGCCCCCTTCCCTTCCCTTCCTTCAACAACAACAACAACAACAAAAAAAGAGTTTATACAGACTTTTATATTAATATATATATATATATATTTAATAACTTTATTTTGCAGCAGTGGAATTGCAAACTGCTCTTTTTTCTGGGAAATAAGTTGGAAAATGGAGTTTACTCCTTGCTGAAAGTTTAGGTTATCCAACCTAAGCTGGTATTTTTTTTTTTCTTCTTTTTGAATTTTTTTTTTTTTTTTTTTTTTTTTTACAGCGAAGAAACAAAAAATGTCCTGGCACAGAAGTTAATTTTTATATAAATATAAAATAGCTGGATAATGTTTATCCTTTATTTTTCTATGTAGGCAGTTGGGTGGGTTTTTAAATGCTTTTACAGCTGAGTGCAAAGCTGTTTAAAAAGGGCTCAGATCTTCCCTCCTGTGTAAGGAAGACTCCAAATCATTGATTTTATGGCCAGATTGGCTTTAATTACCCAGGGGGTAATTAAATTTAATTACCCAGGGGGTGGCCAAGGTACTTGAGGGGACAAGGAATGGGGACATCACTTTGGGAAAACGTGGAGCATCCCAAAATCCCTTTGTGTGTGTGGGGAGGGGAGGAAAAAACAATTCCAATTTTAAACAAATGAAGATGCAGATTTTTTTTTTTTTTTTTTTTACTGATATTTTTCAGTTTCAACTTGCTAAAGGTACGTTTTTATGGGCTGTGGCAGCTGACCACATTTCATCCTGCTGGAGTTCATTCCCACTTTTTCCTCCCTGGAGCCCTGATCCCATTCCAGGACCTCTGCTGGGATTCCAGGGATGCCTGGAGCTGCTCTGGCTCCCAGGAAAAAAAGAGATCCTGGAGCTGCTGTTTACAGTTTATAAAGTCCCTGTGATCTCCAAAGAAACCCCAAAATTCTGGGAAAATCCCAGTGCAGATCCAAAGGCACCTCCCAGCCCAGGTTTGGCCTGAAGCTGCTGCTCCTCCCTGTCCAGGAGGGACAAAAATTCCCACCTGGAGAGGGAAAATCCGACCTGGAGAAGTTCCCTGAGTTTGGTTTTCCTGCTTGGAATGCAAGTGGGAAAGGTGGAAGCCTCCCTGTGTGCCCTGCTCCAGCTGGGAATGGCTTTTCCCAAACCAAATTCCATCCCTCAGCTGCTCCTTTGGGAGACCAGGAGGAAATTTGGGATCCTGGATGTGCAAATTGGAATTCCAGGGTCCACATTTCCCCTGGGAATGGCTTTTCCCAAACCAAATTCCATCCCTCAGCTGCTCCTTTGGGAGATCAGGAGGGATTTTTGGGATCCTGGATGTGCAAATTGGAATTCCAGGGTCCCTCCTGGGAATGGTTTTTCCAGAGCAAATTCCATCCTTTAACCTCTTGGATCATCAGGAAGGATTTTGGGATCCTGGATGTGCAAATTCAAATTCCAGGGTCCGTTTCCCATTTGAATCCAGGGTTAAATTCCATCCTTCCCAAACCAAATTCCATCCTTTAGCCTCTCCCATGGGGGATCAGCAGCCAAGGAGGGATTTTTGGGATGCAGGATCCTTGTCCCCATCCCTGGGATGTTCCCATTGGGAATCTCTGGGGCTGGGATGTGGCCCTGGAGCTGCCCCCTCACCCAGCTGTGCATTTTAGGGTGACCCCGAGCCCATCCCATCCTTTTTCCCACAATTTTTTGGAGCAGGAAATCCCAGGATTCCCCCCTTTGGGGATGCCACGAGTGCCTTGTGGGAATGATCCCAGTGTGAAATGAGCTTTTTGCTGCATTTTTTTTTTTGTGTGTGTCTTAACCTGAACAAATCCCTGTGCCAAAGGCTCCCTGTGCCTTAAAAGTGGGAAAATCCCACTGGATTCTCCTGGATTTGGTGGGATTGGAGATCTCAGAGCTGGGAAATTTTTTTTTTTTTCCCTTGAGAAACTGGAGAGTCTGAACTGCCTGGAAAATTCCCATGGAGGTGGAATTTTGGGAATTGAATGCTGAAGAGACAAAACGTGGGAGATTCCAGCTTTTGGTGCAGCCTCTGGAATTCCAGCTCCATCCTCCTCTTCCTCTGGATGTTCCTCGGAGATTTGTGCTCCTCCTTGGAGGAACCTGGGAGTAGGGACACAAAAATCCTGGGTAGGGGGTGGTGGGAAGGGGTTTGGGCATCCTGGGAGAGGGAGAAATCCCTGGGAAACTCCCCCGGGATGGGAACAGAAATGATGAGCCAGGATCTGTTGGGAATTGGCTCCTCCTTAGGCTGGGAGTGATAAAATCCTTCTGGGAAAAGGAAAATTCCATTCTGGGAGAAGGGAAATCCTGGGAAAAGGAAAAATTTTTTGGGGGGAGGAGGAAAATCCTTCTGGGAAAAGGAAAATCCCTTTTGAGAGGAGGGAAATCCTTTATGGGAAAAGGAAAATTCCATTCTGGGAGGAGGAAAATCCATTCTGAGAGGAGGGAAATTATTTATGGGAAAATGAAAATCCTTCTGGGGAAAGGAAAATCCTTTATGGAAAAAGGACAATCCATTCTGAGAGGAGGAAAATCCACTTGGATCAGCCTGGATATGCCAACAAAACCAGCCCAGTTCTCACAATTCCAGAGGTCTCACCTGCAGCAGGAATATTTCCAATTTTCCAACTGCTGGTGCTGGATCTGCAGAGAAAATCCCTTCCCGAATCCCTTCCCAATTTTTTTTTTTTTTTTTTTTTTTCTCTCTCATCCCAAAAATCTGTCCCAAGTTTTCTGGAAGTTGTTCTGCAGTTCTGAGCTGGAATCCTGGATT